TAAAAACTAAACCCCTTACCCCAAACCATAAGCCCTACAAACCCTTCCCGAAGCTCTTTCCAATCAGCCGGGCTCCTAAACCCTAGAGGGCCCCCATAAACCCTAAACCCTAACAGCCCTACACTGTGGCTCTTCCATAATCTCTCTCCCTCTGACGTAACACAAGGGCTTACATGGAAAATCGTCTAGGTTGTATGGCACGCTTGGTCCGAGAAACAGGCGATGGCAGCTGGCAGCTTCCCTTGGCTTCAGGGCTAGGGGATACCGACACTCGCCCCGCAACCCTAACTCGATCCAGGGGTTCTAGGGTTTAGGGTTTAGGGTTTAGGGTGTAGGGTTTAGGGTTTCGGGTTTAGGGTTTAGGGTTTAGGGTTTAGGGTTTAGGGTCTAGAGGGTCACTGTTCAAGCATTCATCGTCTTTAGGAGGTTCCAGGCTTAGGAACAAACCCACCCACCCAAAGAATCCCATAACATTAAGAAATATAGAGTTCACTCCACAACGGTGCCGACGCACCAAAAAGTGCTCAAGAACGGTGCCCACGCACCAAAAAGTGCTCAAGAACGGCGCCCACGCACCAAAAAGTGCTCAAGAACGGTGCTCACGCACCAAAAAGTGCTCAAGAACGGTGCCCACGCACCAAAAAGTGCTCAAGAGCGGGTGCCCACGCACCAAAAAGTGCTCAAGAACGGTGCCCACGCTCCAAAAAGTGCTCAAGAACGGTGCCCACGCACCAAAAAGTGCTCAAGAACGGTGCCCACGCACCAAAAAGTGCTCAAGAACGGTGCCCACGCACCAAAAAGTGCTCAAGAACGGTGCCCACGCACCAAAAAGTGCTCAAGAACGGTGCCCACGCACCAAAGAGTGCTCAAGAACGGTGCCCACGCACCAAAAAGTGCTCAAGAACGGTGCCGATTGCATCAAAAAGTGCTCAAGAACGGTGCCAAACGCACCAAAAAGTCCTCAAGAATGGTGCCAAACGCACCAAAAAGTGCTCAAGAACGGTGCCCACGCACCAAAAAGTGCTCAAGAACGGTGCCGATTGCACCAAAAAGCGCTCAACAACGGGGGGTACACGCACCAAAAAGTGCTCAAGAACGGTGCCCACGCACCAAAAAGTGCTCAAGAACGGTGCCCACGCACCAAAAAGTGCTCAAGAACGGTGCCCACGCACCAAAAAGTGCTCAAGAACGGTGCCCACTGCACCAAAAAGTGCTCAAGAACGGTGCCCACTGCACAAAAAGTGCCCAAGAACGGTGCCAAACGCACCAAAAAGTGCTCAAGAACGGTGCCCACGCACCAAAAAGTGCTCAAGAACGGTGCCGACGCACCAAAAAGTGCTCAAGAACGGTGCCGATTGCACCAAAAAGTGCTCAACAACGGGGGGTAAACGCACCAAAAAGTTAATAGGGTTTGAATCTATAAGGATAGAGAGTGTTTAGGGTTTAGGGTTTAGGGTTTAGGGTTTAGGGTTTAGGGTTTAGGGTTTAGGGTTTAGGGTTTAGGGTTTAGGGTTTAGGGTTTAGGGTTTAGGATTTAGGGTTTAGGGTTCAGCATCTCAAGTTCGAGCATTCACTAGTCAAGCAGCTTGTCAAGCGTTGGAAAAAAATCCCACCCACCCAAGAAACCCATAACATTGAGGAAATATAAAGTTCACTCAATACTTTCCCGGTAGGCTTAAAGCTCAAAGTCCAATTGGTCCAAAATATTTTAGTTTTTAACGGACCCAAAACCCGAAATCTTATCTCAATAAGCCCTTTATGCTCTTAGGGCCCTAAACCCTGCGGTTTAGAAGCCCCGATCGGTGAAGGCTCGGTTTTGGTCAAAAATCCAGAAAACGAGAGCCCACCCAGAACCGTCGATTTCAGTACTAAAAAATCGCATTTTTAACTGGGACCCTTGCCGATCCTGGGGTCCCCCTCATTTGGGTTGTTTTTTTTCGAGGCAAACTTTCCCTCTAAGGGGGGGTCGGAGTGGGGGGTGGGGGGGAGGGGGGGTGGGGGGTTGGGGGGTGGGGGGGGGGGGTGGGGGTGGGGGGGGGGTGGGGTGGGGGGGGGGTGGGTGGGGGGGGGGGGGTTGGAGGGGGGGGGGGGGTGGGGGGGGGGGGTGGGGGGGTGGGTGGGGGGGGGTGGGGGGGTTGGGGGGGGGAGGTGTGGGGTGGGGGGGGGTGGGGGGAGAAGAAAAAAAAACAATATGCCGACGAAGGGGGTGGCCCACCAGGGGAAAAAAACAATATGCCGACGAAGGGCGTCAGGGTTTAGGGCCACCAGGGGGGAAAAAAACAATATGCCGACGAAGGGGGTCAGGGTTTAGGGCCCACCAGGCGGGAAAAAAAACAATATGCCGACGAAGGGGGTCAGGGTTTAGGGCAATATGCCGACGAAGGGGGTCAGGGTTTAGGGCTCGCCAGGGGGGCAAAAAAAACAATATGCCGACGAAGGGGGGTCAGGGTTTAGGGCCACCAGGGGGGAAAAAAAAACAATAACAATGTGCCGACGAAGGGCGTCAGGGTTTAGGGCCCACCAGGGGACAAAAAAACAATATGCCGACGAAGGGCGTCAGGGTTTAGGGCTCACCAGGGGGAAAAAAACAATATGCCGACGAAGGGCGTCAGGGTTTAGGGCCCACCACAAAGAAAACAAACAATATGCCGACGAAGGGCGTCAGGGTTTAGGGCCCACCAGGGGGGAAAAAAACAATATGCCGACGAAGGGGGTCAGGGTTTAGGGCCCACCAGGGGGGAAAAAACAATATGCCGACGAAGGGGGTCAGGGTTTAGGGCCCACCAGGGGGGGAAAAAACAATATGCCGACGAAGGGGGTCAGGGTTTAGGGCCCCCCCCCCGGTTTTGGTCAAAAATCCAGAAAACAGGAGGCCACCCAGAACCGTCGATTTCAATACTAAAAAATCGCATTTTGAACTGCGGCCGGGGCCGATCCTGGGGTCCCCCTCATTTGGGGTGTTTTGGGGGGGCCCCCGGGTGGAAAAAAACAATATGCCGACGAAGGGGGTCAGGGTTTAGGGCCCAGAAAAAAAACAATATGCCGACGAAGGTCATTAGGGTTTAAATATACATAGTAAGAGAGGGTTTAGGGTTTAGGGTTTAGGGTTTAGGGTTTAGGGTTTAGGGTTTAGGGTTTAGGGTTTAGGGTTTAGGGTTTAGGGTTTAGGGTTTAGGGTTTAGGGTTTAGGGTTTAGGGTTTAGGGTTTAGGGTTTAGGGTTTAGGTATTAGGGTTTAGGGTTTAGGGTTTAGGGTTTAGGGTTTAGGGTTTAGGGTTTAGGGTTTAGGGTTTAGGGTTTAGGGTTTAGGGTTTAGGGTTTAGGGTTTAGGGTTTAGGGTTTAGGGTTTAGGGTTTAGGGTTTAGGCTTTAGGGTTTAGGGTTTAGGGTTTAGCATCTCAAGTTCGAGCATTTACTAGGCCAGCAGTGTATCTAGGCAACGGACAAAAACCCACCCGCCCAAAGAATCCCATAACATTAAGAAAATAGAAGGTTACTTATTTTCTCTTCGGATGCACCAATCACGCCGTAGTACCAAGCACTTAACACAAGCCACACCCGGCCTTGAGGCCTTGAAACCCTAAACACCAGGCCTTGAGGCCCTGAAACCCTAAACACTAGGCCTTGAGACCCTGAAACCCTGAAACCTAAATACTAGGCCGTGAGGCCGTGAAACCCTAAACAGCAGGCCTTGAGGCCCTGAAACCCTAAACACCAGGCCGTGAGGCCTTGAAACCCCAACCATTAGGCCCGGAAATCCTAAACACCTTTGGACGAAACGACCTTGCCCAGTAAAAAATGACCTAGCCCAGTAAAAAAATGACCTAGCCCAGTAAAAAATGACCTTGCCAGCAAAAAAATGACCTTGCCCAGCTAAAATGACCTTGCCCAGTAAAAAATGACCTTGCCCAGTAAAAAAATGACCTTGCCCAGTAAAAAAATGACCTTGCCCAGTAAAAAAATGACCTTGCCCAGTAATGACCTTGCCCAGTAAAAAAATGACCTTGCCCAATAAAAAAATGACCTTGCCCAGTAAAAAAATGACCTTGCCCAGTAAAAAAATGACCTTGCCCAGTAATGACCTTGCCCAGTAAGTAAAAAAATGACCTTGCCCAGTAAAAAAATGACCTTGCCCAGTAAAAAAATGACCTTGCCCAGTAAAAAAATGACCTTGCCCAGTAAAAAAGTGACCTTGCCCAGTAAAAAAATGACCTTGCCCAGTAAAAAAAATGACCTTGCCCAATAAAAAAATGACCTTGCCCAGTAATGACCTTGCCCAGTAAAAAAATGACCTTGCCCAGTAAAAAAATGACCTTGCCCAGTAAAAACATGACCTTGCCCAGTAACTCCTTAACATTTAAATTATATATGAAAGAGAGGTTTAGGGTTTAGGGTTTAGGGTTTAGGGTTTAGGGTTTAGGGTTTAGGGTTTAGGGTTTAGGGTTTAGGGTTTAGGGTTTAGGGTTTAGGGTTTAGGGTTTAGGGTTTAGGGTTTAGGGTTTAAGGTTTAGGGTTTAGGCCCAAACTCATGGAGCTCTTACCTTCGAACACAATAGCTTCAATATGCTGGAAGGAAATGTGGCGACATTCGTTGTAAACTGTTCGCTCCTGCTTCCGAACTCTCCATGGAGGTCCTCAACTGATTGCTTCGCAATTCGTAGCGGATCACCTGCTTTTTTTCATGTGGGACAGTTCAAGGAGACAAAACACTTGCACAGGCTTTTTCAGGGTTTAGGGCTAAGGGCTAACCCCCCTCGGCAGCTGACCCTAAACCCTAAACCCTGCAAGAAAAGGGAGCCAAGGCATTGTTCAGTCTTGGGAAAGACGGCGACTGAATGACATCGTCTCTGGGGCTCCTTTGGCAAACGCTTGGGTTTTTCAGGGGTTTTGCCAGGAACATAACATGGCTCACTTGTTTGGGGTTGGGTGCAAATATTTGCGTTCACCCCCTTTCGTCCCACCCTAAACCCTAAACCCTCCTTTTGTCTCCCCTTTCCCCCTTTCATTGGCGATGCGTGGTGTACGCGGGAACCCGCAACGGAAGCTGCGCTGGTAGAGTCGTGGGCGGCCCTGGCATAGGACAAGGGTGATGGGGCATGCTCATGCGAGCCCTAAACCCTAGACCCTATACCCAACTTCTAGGTGTCATGATGCTTCGGGTCATTAACGAAAACTGTGTATTGGGGAACCCTTATGTACCCATTACATATCCCATAAAACCCATGGGCCCATACTTCAGAGTCCTTTCAAGAAGGTCGGGGGCCATGTGACTTCCCTGAGGCTCTGTCAAGCGTACCCTAGGCTATAAGGGCTGTAGGGTTGAGCGTGCCAGGTTCGGAAGCCTTTTCTCCCGACTAGAGCCGTCAACAGTAGGACATCAACACAGCAGTTCGCACTCGGTCAAACTCTCAAACCCAAGGCACACTCGAGCGGGAACCCCAACCAAAACAGACCATTACACCCACAAACCTCAACAAACTTGCACTTTAAACGTCTGCACTGTGCTTTGGCATGGCGCCGCCTGACCTGCAGGCTGCCGGAAGGAGCCCGTAGTGTTCAAGCACACTTCTGAGTATGTCGCATGCCAACGCGCAGCGAGCTCTCGACGAAGACTTGAGTTGTTTTGCTTCTCATCCGCACCTCGGTCATGTGGAATGCAGGAGTTCAGTCCAACAGAGAACGTAAGCAAAACTGCAACAATGCAGCAGCAGGGAAGCTGAACCGAGGACTGTGCTCCTCACGCCACGGCCGGCGTGGTGCCTTACAGTACTTACGGTCAGCAGCCATGCAACATCATGCAACGTTGGGGAGTGAAATCTGCTGGCAAAGAGGGTCCTGGGATTGTGGCTTGCAGTGCCAGATGGCACGTCGGAAGCGGCCTTGTTCCAGCGCGAAGAGGGCCGCGGACCTCCAGCGAAGTGTCAAAATCTGCTACGGCGCTATTGTGCTTCCATATATCGCCGTGACGTAGTCATTGCCTGCACGGCAAAGCTAACCCCCAAAGAAGAATGGCAGGCCCTAGGCGCAATCACTGCAAGAACCTTTTGCATCTATAAAGGCAGAACCTGCGGTCGGCACTTCTGGCCTACGGCTTGGGGTCCATGGATCTACGCATGGCCTCTGAGAGGTGTGAGCTGGTGCGCTCGGGCTGTAAACCCATGTAGACCATGAGCCTTAATCCTAAACCCTATAACCCCCAAACCCGGTGTTTCTTCACAGGAGAGATTAAGGCCAAGGGTTTTGGAGGGTGTGGAGGCTGAGAGGAATCCGGGAAATTCTTGAATTCTCGTGGGGTCCAAGCTTGAAAATGGTCAAGGTGCCGAAGAAATCCTCCTGAAAAGAGACCAGGCCCCAAGCAGCATCGGCAGAGTAGGCTGAGAAGTTTTGCTCCGCATCTGCGCCGCATCCTCACAGACTGGCAGACACGTGAAAATGGCACAGAGGCCTCAAGGCAGAGTCCGCGTGATGCGCAAGCACATGTGCTACGCAGCACAAGTTCACCAGCACTCTACTGTTTTCCTTCTGTGCTCTCCGACCTATTACGGCGACTGTCCACCAGGTTCCACTTCAAGTAATTCGGTGCAAAATGCAAACGATGTAGAGACGTCACCGCAGAACCTCCGTTTCTGGATCTGGAATACTTGCTGATGTGAGTTCGATGCCTTCAGAACGCAAGGGCGGCTAGATCTCTTCGCTGTGATACTGCCCTGCAGTGACAAGGATGAGCGAGTTCTGGCAGCACCCTTCCAGCAGCTGTGCAAATTTTTGTCAACTCTACGGCGGCTCTGATCGTGCAGCGGCCCGCGAGGTTCTTCAACCTATTACGGCGACTGTCCGCCACGGGTCAAGTTTCATGCCTTTCAACATCTGTACAACAAACAGCATCTTTCCAGAAGCTCTGAGCGTGCAGGGCCCGGAAATGCCCGGAAGCACTCGCGTTCTGGGACGAGAAGAGGTCTCAAGTGCCCTCAGCTGGACTATCTCCAAGACGGCACACACTCTAGACTCGCAACAGCCAAAGGCACTTGCCGTCCTCGAAACGTCACTGAAGTACTTGGCGAAACTCACCCATCGAGGCTACCATTACTCGAAGTCCCTCCGGAAACCCATCAAGGCATAGTCCTCGTAGCCATATTCCTCTTTCTTGTGTGCTTTGTTCACGCACATGGAGAAAAGGGTAGCCATGGCACCTTTCAAAGAATGCCCTACGGCACTGACCGTGTCACACTTCGAGAGCTCTGGCCGAATGTTCTCATGGAACTGGACTGAGCTCACCATCCGCAGCAGCTGTTCTTTAAACCCCCAGAAAGTGAAGGTATGTCCGTTTTGCAAGCCATTTTCGTCCTTAGGGTCCAAGAAGCCGCAGAAGTGCGCTGGAAAAACTTGAAGATCTTGAAAGGCATCTGCCATGGAGTCTGTGCCTGCGAAGGTCAGCATGCACTTAGAAAAGCCATACGATTCGTGCTGTACGAGCCAGGATGACAATGCCTGTGGTGTGCGTATCGGTCTCATCACTGCTGTAGTCGCCCGCGACGACCTGCCAACCACTGGGAAGCTTTTTCTGGGCATGCCTTAAAAACGCCCTAAACCCTAAACCCCAAAAAACCCTAAACCCCAAAACGCCAAGCCCTAAATCCCTAAAGCCCTAAACCCCAAAAAGCCCTTAACCCTAAACCCAAAACCCTTAACCCTTAAAAGCTCCAAACCCTACAAGCCTCTGAGCCCGGAAAAACCCTAAACTGTAAGATCCCCTAAGCCTGAACCCTGAAAAGCCCTGAACCCAGAGTACCTGAATCCCGACCTCCTTGTTCCTGAAGTGTTCCTTTTCGTTCGGAATTCTGGCCTCTTCTGGTTCCTGAATGGCCCCATGTGTTTCCTGAATTCTGTGCCTGAATTTCGCGTCTAGTTCCTGAATGCGTCTTCACTCGGTTTCCAAGAAAAACCCTATAAAAGATGTGCACCACACCTACTGAGGGCGGTGCGAAAAACCGCAAACAATAATCGAAAGACTGGCCACGGTTGGGCGAGGCCAAGAGAAACAGAGTATGTCCATGGTATCTATAAGCCACATAAGGTCACCAGTTCCAAATCAGCCTGCACGTGGACAGCAGATGTGGAGCATCAGCCGCTCAAAAGCGACACTGAAGTTCGGCACACAAATGCGCGCCTCCGGCGGTGAAAACAATGCTTGCCCGGCGCTGCGAAGCTGCGAGAACCTGCCGTAGCTGCCAGCCGCGAGTTGATCTTCGCACACGGCGGTACGAAAGAACAATGAGACATCAACGACACCAACTTTGCGATGCGTTTTGCACATGGCTGATGTGGATTCCATGCGGCGTAAACCCTCTGCTCTTTCTCCTCCTTGCCCACAAAGGTCACGTCCTCCTTGCCTGCGCGTGTAGCCACAATCTGTGCAAGCATCCCGGGGACAGAGGCAGAGGTCCGCAACTGCAAGAACTCGATCTCTTCGGACGCGCGCCCTCCCATGACTCTGGGCAACGATGGAGAAACCGAGCACCAACAAGATGCTCATGAACGGAATCGCAATAAATGCGAATCGCGCGGCGATTGCCTTGAACCCGAGCTCCGAACAACAACGTTGACAGCCACTCTGAGGGCATCTACCTACCCAAAGAAACGAGGTCAGCAAGAGAAGTCTTGCAACCACCAGATCCTGGCTTCCATCTCGCATCCTCCTGAATCTCCACAAAACGAGAAGAGAAAACCAACAAAACAACTCCAAACATTCTCTAAGCCTCGCACCCTGAAATCATCTGAACTCATTTGAACTAATTTGAACTCCTTAGCCCTAATGGTCCAGATCGACGTGGCGGCTGCACCTCTACTGCTCGCAGTCCAGAAGTGTGGATGGGGTCCAGGCAAGGATTCAGCTGGAGCGCCTGAGGGCGGCTTTCGGAAAACAGATGAACACATGCAAGCCGAATGAAGTCGTGAGAATGTTCGCAAGGTCCACAAAAGCCCACATGTCAAACTCCAATGATCCATGGTCAATCCGGCATGTCAATGGCCAGAGCCTCGTAGAAGCTGCGGAAGCCCTCGGCATCCTCAGCGATGCGCTTCAAGCGCACTGCGGCTCGCCGAGCTCAGCTCTTGACACTGGATATCCTCAACTCAGCTACTTAGTACAATAGTTTACGCTTCGTAGGTCTTGGTAGAGGCACGACACGGCATAGGCTTCATTCAAGACCGACCTCCATATTGAGGGGGACGAGAGAAGAAATCCCTCCACGACAGCGGAGCTAATCAAGCAAGCCAACCTCAACACACCAGAATCCAACCTTTTTCCTAAGCTCTCTGCTCAAACATCTGGGACTTGCAGGCTCCCTTCAGAAGCTCTTTGCTTCTTCGTCTGAGAGAGTGTGGAGCGATTGCGGCGCTCATAAGGTCAGCTGTTTTCCTTCGGGGCTCTTCAACCTATTACGGCGACTGTCCACCAGGATCCACAAATTAAACGATGTAGAGAGGCCGCTGATCACACAGTTAGAGCCTTCGGTCTAAAATTGCCTTGCTGGTACAAGAATGAGCTCTGGGAGCAGCCTTTCCAATCTTTCCAGCATCTATACAATTTTTGTGACATCTTTTAACATCTGCACCAACTCTGAGCGTGCGAGGCCCACGCAGCTCTTCAGCCTCATACGGCGCAGTCCCTTGAAAAAACCGGAAGCATCGGAGAAGGTCGAACTGGACAGTACACCTACCGCGTTTTGCAGTTGACTTTGATCGGCCCGTTGTAGCCCTCCACGGCCCCACGGTTTCGAACTGCCACCTTGCTGTCGGGAAGACCGGTGCCAGGACCAAGTGCTTCCAGCAGGACTCCTTTCACGCATTTGTTGTTATTCAGGTCGCGGAAGGTCGTCTTCATTCGACCGGTGCAGTCTTTCACATTGTTGGAAGCCCGCTGGAATTGCTTGACCCTGAAGCGGTAGTAAGGCTCTATCAGGACCTCCCTCTCTCCATCTCCGAAGAAGGACACTTCGGAGGCATACCGCATTCCGTACACTCCATCCTTAGCCAGCTCGTTAGGAATGTGGATGACAATCCAGTACGGGTCGTCTTTATCAAACTGGAGTGAGTAGCACCTGTCGTACGTCGTGCTGACGAAGGCCCCGTACTGGATGGTCTGGCCTTCTTTCATGGTCCTTTTCGGCGACTCGTCGTTCCGGTACAAAAAGATGTCGTCATTCCCGTTCTTAGATGTGCTACGGCTGCTACTGCACACAGGCACGTAAGAGCACCGCTAATGCCAAAACAAACTGATGGACTGAGTTGCTGGTGCTGGCCGGTAAGGCCGTGTCCGGATCTCTTCGACGATGCGCCACATGAGGGGCGCCCATTGATGGATCTTGACGCAGTCCAGCCTCCCAAAGGGATCGGAGCCTGTGGGAGCCTTTGTGCCTCTGTGGAGCCTCTCTGAGCCTCTGAGGCCTGTGGGAGCCCTGGCCTCAGGTAAAGGTTCAGAATCTTGTAGAAGGGTCGAATAGTGGCGCAGGAGGGCGGCTTCTTGGGAGACTTCTTGACCTGGGTTGCAGTATCATCTAAGGTCGATTGAAAATTGAAGATTCATTGGAGCGAATATTGGAGCAAAGACTGGAGATTCATCTCTCAAGACTCATCAAGACTTGGCCCGGCGCATTGCTCGCGCACGCTTTGTGGTTTCGTTTCTCTAGCAGGTCCGCTGAGTAGTAGTAGCCTTCGCTGTCGAGCGCCAGCTTGCAGTCTGGGTCGAAGTCAAAGCTACAGCCCCAGAGCGCAGTGTAGGCGTAGATGCCGAGGCCATCCCGCGCCTTCACCGCCGCGGCGCTCCGGAGTCTTGTTGGAAGATTCTCGTTCTTTTCGACGTTGCCTAGGTGCTCTCATGTGCTCTCTGCGAAATGCCAGCAGCTGCCAGCATTCCCCCCCAGGCATTCCCGGCCTAACTCGAAGAACTGGTTCTCGAACTGCTTGCACTCCCCGTGCTGCCCACCAACCGTGTCGCAGTGGAGAGGGCAAACGCTCGCGAAGGTCCGCCGCAGCTCTTGGTCCTTGGTCTCGGTGAGCAGACCTGGGGAGGGCCGCTTCGTGCCCTAAGGGCTCATTTGAGGCGTCTGAAGCTGGAAGGCTGAACAAGGGCTGAGCATGGACTGCGCATGGGCTGAGCATGGGCTGAACATGGGCGCCTCGGAGCTTTCCGCTCTGATGGTCGTTCTTCATCACGGAGAGGTACGTGGATTTATTGAACTCGTCCGGGTAGCGGAAGGGGGGTGCAGTCTGGCAGCCACAGCCATTGACGTTGCGCTGATCCCCCAAGTTGTCCACCTTGCCCTGCGGGCCGAAGATGAGGTGCTCGATGTTGCAGGAGGTGATCATCACGACGTAGCCTTCGGTCCGGGCCTTGTCTGGTACATTCAGATCGTAGCAAGCTGGAGGCTTCCCATTTTGGGAGGCGCCACCTTTGATGCCGTTGTTTGTGAAGCCAGTGTTGAAAGCCTTCTGCTTGGTCGCGGCGATGTGTTTTTGATTGGGCTGAAAAGAAACCCTTTCCTGCTCCTCCTCCCCTTCTTGTAAAAGAAGAGCGCCACGATAGCATGGCCAAACGGTGATACCGCCACGCTTCTCCCATCCCTCAGCCTTTTCCGCCTCGGTGAAGACTTGTGGGAAATTTCTGAAGTACCTGGCATAGTTGGTTGTGGCACCTTTGCAATTTGGGACAAGATCGGATACATCGATCTTCACGAATGTCTGCATGTACTTCTTGTTAGAGCAGACTTCCTGTTGCATCCTGCGGGACAGATCACCGCCACGACAATCGCGTCTTTCTTTTTTCCCTTGCTTGGTCTTATGCTCGTACCAACCTGCCTTCAATACTCTGTTGTGGATGTGGAGCTGGTCCTGTCCCCGCGCGCAGACTGGGTTGACCAGCAACGCACAGCCAGGGGCGAGGCCTTTGCCCTTGCATGCCTTCGTTGCTCCATCATTTCCCAGTCCATTCTTCGCAGCCCACCACAGCCAGTCCCAGTCTTGGGCCTTTTTTGTTCCTTGCTGAAGCTCCTCTGTGCCAGTGAACCTGACAATTGGGTCTGTAAGCGCTCCATTGGCCATGCTGCAGTACGCTTTTGGTTCAAATCCTTTCGGCATCCTGTGCTGGACTGAATGGTCACCCTTAGTCCCCCGGACACATGTTTCGTAGTGGCGGCATCGTTCAATCAGCGCAGCATTTCTTGCCTTCTCCAAAGGCTCATTCTGCACACTGGGCGGGGCCCCGTTTTCGCAGTCCGCAAAGTAGACCTGGATCGGAATTTTGTGATTGGACTCCCATGCTTGGAAGCTGCTTTTGGTCTTCTCGGAGCAAAAATCATCCACTTTGGGTTGTTGCCGACGAATTTTCCATTTTAATAGCCATTTCGGCCATTTCCCATGCTGCGATTTCCCATGCATGGCATGCCCACGTTGCGAGTGCCCATCTTTCGTGTTCCCAGTCCCATTTTGCCGCAGCAACATCGCGGGGTGCAACTGAAGGTGGCACACCCCCTCTGAGCACTCCTCCAAGTTCATTTCTCCGCTCTGCGCAGAGAAGGCAAAGGCCCCCCACATCGCAAGGAACGCCAGCGTCGCAACCATTGCAGGCAGGTACTACGGCTAGCTGCAAACTGTCAGATTCCTGGGCAAAATGCGACTGGCTTGTAGACAGAAGCAAGAACTCGTTGATAGATGCGATAGATGCGTAGAAAGCAGGTGAGAACAGGGATGCTGCACGCTTGCACAGGCCTCTCGAAAAGCGGCATCTGCTGCTGGCTGGAAGGCGTCATAGCCTGGCCGGATAGGCTTGCTTTTCGCCAAAGTTCACGTCGGGATCATCACGGATATTTGCCGCTTTCATGGTTACGAGGCCAGCTTCCGAAGCATTCCCTGGCATGGTTTTGGCAATCAAAACGGCGCCCTTCCTGTTTTGGCCATTCTGTGGGTAGGGAAAAAGGTCTCCGTCGAGGGTCAAAGCCGAGGCATCTTTCTGCCCACTTCGGTCCAGGTCTTGGGATCCGAAATGAAGTGCTTGCTTGCCATTGCTTGACCATTCATGCCCCAACTACTACTATTGTCATTGAGTCATTACTATTAGTATTGCTACCATCCTACTAGTACTAGTAGTACTCGTATTATTATTCTTAGTATTGGTATTACTACTAACCAGTATCATTGCTATAATGTTCTAACAGCTCGTGGTCGGCCATGTGCTGTTTTCCTTCTGGGGCTCTTCAACCTATTACGGCGACTGTCCACCAGGATCCACAAATTAGGCGCACATGATGGAGAGGCCACTCCAAAATCACGTTTCATTCCTGATCCGAGTTCAATGCTTTCAGAATCCAAGCTCGGCTGCACACCTTCGTTCTCAAATTGCCTTGTGCTGATACTGAAATTGTCACTATTATGTCTGTTGTTATTACTTCGTTCATTATTACTAGTATTATTACTACTATTACTACAACATCTACTACAATTACTACATATTATTAAGAGTATTATTTCTATGTTTATATTAAGCTTACTATCATTCATGATACTTACCATTACTACTATTATGATTACTGTTCTGGGAGCAGCCTTTCCAGCATCAGCGCAAAATTGCATAAAATCCGCACCAGCTCGGAGCTTGCATGGCCCGCGTGGCTCTTCAACCTACTACAGCGACTGTCCGCAGCGGGTCAGCAACAGAGCAATTAACAAAAACAACAATAATGATAGTAAGTAACTTTCCAATACCATGCGTTCGATGCAGATCGCTGCATCGTCGGTGAACGCTTGGGAGCTGAGCTGGGAGGAAAACAGGAGAGACGTTATCTTAAATGATTCTGTCTCTTGCGGCCTTTTGAGGTTCAGACCCAATGTAGTTCTCATTGCCCGTTAACGCTATATAAGGGAGCATTTGTGTGATGTAGCCATTGCTCTCTGGGGCGACCTACTCTACGAGTAATAGTAATACTAATGATAGTAATTTACTGTATCTTCGCATTATGATGATTGTTATCAGTCTTATTGTTGTGATTTATAACTTCTTGAGACGGTCCCTGCCCCGCTCTTTTGGCTGGGGCACAAGTTAAGCCCTCTTTGCAAGCTCTTCTTGTGGACCCAGCTTTCATGGGAGTTGTCTCATGTGGTCAACTAAGATCTAACTTCTGTTCACTGGAGCTGTCCGCTTGCATGCCCACACAGCTGCAGCTTATGCAACCTCCTGCACGACCACAGTCCCTTGGCTGATCTGCACTTTGGGCAGCTGTGCCTGTGGTCTGCTGTCTCTCCCCGAAAGCCACTCAATGGTCTCCATGGCCAATGCGGCGTGGCGCGCCTCATCGTTCGCAATCGCCCAAACGATCTTCGCAAGAGCCCGGCGGCCTTCCGACAACACCTCGCGGCCATCCAGCTTACCCTCGCTCTGGCCATGCAGAGTTTCAAGGGAGCGCTGGAAGAGCCGAAGCGCCGCACGGCCCTCGCCGATGAGACCCTCCTCGATGGCGGCATTTCGGAGCGCAACAAAGTCACGCCGTACTTCAAAGCTGTGTTCTGGGAGGTCCAAGCGTTCGATGGCAAAGCCACCGTGGCCATCTGTCTGGGTAGCATTGGCGAGGTCGCCCCTCAAGCTTTTGAAGACAGAGGGCGATTGGAGTTCATGGTTTGCACCACGCAAAAGGCCCAGAGACAGATGAGCATGCACAAGTTCCTCCTCCTGTGCCTTGATGGCGCGGCGCAACAACCTTGGCGGTGCTCCTGCAACAAGCAACTCCAAGCAAAGCTTCGCAAAGGAACCAACTGACGCATGCTCTGCCAAGCCCGCTTCCTTCCAATGCTCACGCTCCTCAGGACCCGCACTGGCAAGCTCCGCTTGTGCCACAGCAAGCATGTGCGGGAGTTGCGATTCCATCGCCAGAGTGCCGGTTGCCTCTGGGAATGGATTTCCGGCGCCAAAGCCACAGACCCAAGTTACTGGCGGGGAATCCCCACCCATCAGCCAAATCCTTGACCTCACGCGTTGCAGTGGCAGCAGCCAGCAAGGTCTTGCCGTTCAGGGTTAATGGGCGGCCAAGTACCTGTTTTGGAGTGGACTGAGTGGAAGGCGTGCACCCAGAAATATAATATGCGCCAGGAAACCGCTCAGACTTTCTTGCCTGCCAGCAGTTCCTTCCTCCGACAACGTAGCACCACATTTCCCCATCATGGTTGTGAGCCGCACAACCATTGAGGCCCACATGAACATGTCCGCTCATCCACTCCGTGGTGCAATCACATGGGCTTGAAGTTTTCGACGTGAAAGGAACCAGGGCGTAGATTGCTCCTGTCTCGGGGTTGCGGGCCATCCTGGTATCGGAGGTGATCACGCCGCAGCCCGCAGGCGCATCTGCCAAGGAAGGTCCTTTCAGATGATCAACTTCAACGTAGGTGTCGTTCTGCATGTACGGTCCGGCACACCAGTTCTTATTGCACATGTGGCAAGCCTCAACGTAATAGAGAGTTCCGAGAAACCATATCGTCTCCAAGCTGTTTTGGCTGATTGACACCTCGCAGAACTTATGCCATTGAGCACCGAAATCATCCATGGTGAATTCAATCTTCACCTTGTCAACAGGTGGGCTCGACGGATGAGGCTCTTGTTGAAGCCTCACCTCCCCCAACTTCACCGCAGTGGGGCAATGGACCCCAATGTAGAAGCTTCCACTCCTATCCTGGCGACCGCCCCATGCCGCATCAATATCGTCCCTGAACGCATTCTCAGGTTCCCATCCGTCGCCTTCAGCCGTGCCACTGGAAACAACTGAGCATCCGAAAGGCGATGGCATGAGTTTGTCACCTGTGTCGGTCAGGAACTGCACCTGCAATTCATGCCACGCAGCATACAGAGTCCACCGTCAGTTACGGGCACACATATACAGTATACAGCTAACTAAAAGCTGTTTAGTTTTGAAATGCCAGCTGCCTGCTTCACATCCCATGCCCACATCTCTTCAGAAGGCTTGATGGCGGTGATTCGCCAGCCCTTTGCCCTTATGCCTGATGGGGGAGGAGGAGCTGAATGTGTTGCACCACTTCCGGATTCGGACGTCACTTGCGTTGCTGCTTGCGTTGCTGCAAGTGGCTCCTCCGAGGTCTCCAGCTTCTCCGTCACGTGGTCCGAGGCTTTGCTCTGCAATGCGCATGACTCATCTGCTTGGTCTGTAGCGGGGATCTCCATGCCGGTAGTCAAGATGGCACCGACACACGCAAACAGAAACATTGCCATGTTTGCCATTTTGGAGTGCGCCGAAGATGTCTCAGCTGACTGGAGTCTGAAGCCGAAACTGTAGCAAGGCGCGCCGACAGGTACTGGACAGAAACCAAAACAGACAAATTAAACAACAGCTTGCGCAACAAAGCTGCCTCCCATCCTTGGATCCAGGCGCACAGGGGCATGTACCTACTCTGCAAAACACCTACAAAAACCGACAGCACCGGCACCAGAGCCGCGGCCGTGTGGTTATTCACATGAGGTCTTGACCGTTTGTTGGTGAAGTGCATAGGCAGCGCCCCTGTGAAATGCGTTAGGACATTTATTTTCACATAAGCTAAGCTGTCTCACTACTTAGAGGGGCATCGTGGGGAGGTAGATTGATTAATTGATGCGTGCGCTCGCTAATGACTCGTGAGAAGTTCTTGCCGTCCATCGTCGTGGTGTCGTAATAACTTCTTCGTCGAAATCACGACATGAGCTTGGAGGCTACATTCAAGCATGAAATTTTGCACGATGCCCTTGCGATGAGCCGTTGCCGGAAAGTTCAAACAAAGCTAGGTGGCTTGGCACGCGCCATTTTTTGATTCTGACAGGGCTCGGGACAATAACACAAGACGCGCATAGCCGCACAGCCTTCAACCCAGAACTTTCCCCTGCCATGTTGCAAGTTGCTGCAGTATGAATTTCACGGGCCGGTGACGATCCCTTCGAGTAACCCCTCGGGGGGTTGCCCGCCTTCTTGCAAGTTCAGCCCGCAAACGTGCCCCGAGGGGTGACACGAATGCGTGTGATGTCGAGCCTCAGTTGAAGCAGCATCACCTGCGCCCAGTTGAGGCGGCGAGAGTTCTAGGGTAGGTTGTTCCAGTGGTTCTGCTGATCGGCTTTCCTCTTTGTTGATGAGGTGCGAAAGAATGCGCATCTTGCATGTTATGCCATGAAGCAAAGAAAGGCACATGCAAGATGCAGGTTTCAAGACGCGGCGCGCTCTTCCACATTCGCACGAAGCGGTTGTGGATGTCGCTGTGGAGCGCAACCTGTCCGAAACCAGCGTCGACCACCTCACAGGCTTTCTGAGAGAAGTGGGCAGTTAGGGTCTTCTAGGGTTTAGGGTTTGCAGATGTCATAAAATAGAGCTTAGGTTAGGGTTAAAATAAGAGCCTTGAAGTGCTCCCAGGTCCGCCTGGCAGAGCGATGTTCTTCCTCGGCTCGGCTCTTCGAGGTCTAAACCAAAAAAAATAAAATGAAATAAAAACAAGGCGTTCGGGAGAACGGCGCTTTCAAGGGGCTCCCAAGGCTTTCGCATCCCAACTCTCTCTCTCAAACTCCAGAACACCGCAAATCCACCCCCCACCCCAGCCCCCTCTCCCAAGCCCTCTTAAAAAAGAAACATAAGCCTGAAAGCCTCACCCTTTTTTCCAGCATGGCTTCTCGGCCGATGAGTCCTTCTTGTTTGCATCGCCATGCCTGGGCTCAGAACAGAACCCGCTCGGAGCCCTTCCCCCAAAGGGTGTAGGGTTTAGGGTGTGATTGTTTAAGTTCCCTTCCCCCCTCCCTCCCAACCCCAAAAAAAACAATACCTGTTGTATCTGATGGCTTCCTAGACCCACAGAAGGCCTCTGCTCTGGTCTGCGTTTTCATTCTTGTCATAGACTATTGCAGCATCAACTCCGAAAGTATAAGAGGCCTCTGAACCTTCTTGACCGCTCCATTTCTGCAAGCAGCGCGCCGCCACTAGAGGTGTCCGAAAATTGGTGATCTGCTTCTGGGATTTGATTTTATTGGGGACGGTACGTGCAGGTACAGCACTTTGAAGGTTTTGAGGGTTCAAAGTGCCGCACGGTCCCTTAAAACACTGTCGGGCATGCTATGCGGGCTTAAGGGCGGGTTGGTCATGCCAACCAACTTGTACCGGCTTATCCTCTGGATGATTTGGATATGCGAGATGTCGCTTTTATTTCATATCGAACCCATGACTTGCGTTTATTAGTCTCGGTTTTGGACTTACATGGTTCCACCCGTAGGGGTACCAATGAAGGCTCTGAGGAGACTCC